GCCTTCCCCACCGATGGAACGGCAACGCGCACTTCGAAGGAAAATAATCACGGCAACCGCACAGCAGCGCCTTCATGTTTACCAACCATCCTCGACAGGGTATCTACCTTGCATTGACGCCCAGTCAAGGATCCCCTCTGCATCTTGTGGCAGCGGGACTCCGCCACGGCCCGAAGCTGTAGATTGACGACCGCCGCGACCAACTTAGCGCTAGCACCCTTCAGAGATAGCGGGCTAAGATCGTCAAGGGACCTCGCCAGGTCAAGCAGGCCCCCAGGGCTGAAACGCATCAACTGATGGTTGATGTCCTGCGGCGGGCCCATTCCACTGAGCTTACCCCGAATTCTATAGTGCCCCAGCCGCTGCCTCGTGAGCGAGCCATGGGCGGTACGGCAGCCTGTCGGGACCAGGAGAGCAGGGCTTGCCATGGCGAATGCATCGTGCCAGAGCGCCACGCGTGGGTAACCGCAGATTGGGAGAGGCATAGCACGGACGCGGGGGAGGAGGAGGAGGGGGAAGAGGAGTTTTGTGGTTTCCACACCCTGAGAACTCCGCGGCTGTTAGTACGTGGGTGAACAGATCGGAGGGCGACGAGAAAACGATGGAAAGGGGAGGAAGACGCTGCCAGTAAGGGAAGCGACGAGCGCCCCGAAGCGTAGACATGACAACGCGGGAGGATAGGACACGTGCGGGTGGCGACAGAACGACGTGACAAGACGAGAAGAGGCAGCCGACAAGAGAAGAAAGGCCCTTAGCACGACCGCCTCGAAGCCGTTGTGCGTGACCCGATCACCGCCCCGTCAGAACTCCCAAGGGACTGCTAGATGCCGAAGCACGTCTCTGCCGCTGCAGCACGCTCAGCTTCGAGAGCCATCTTCTCCACCAGCATGCCGTCCCGTTGTGGCGTGCAGGAGGGATCACTGACCTCCTTCACGATCCGCGCGTCGGCTATTGTCGGCCCGTCACCAGGGCGCATGGTTAAGCGGAACGCGTCGCCCGACGTGGCCACTATCTTGTCAAGAAATCAAATGAAGGCCTTCTCGAAGACCACCGCATACCGCCCAATGAGCAGCTCCAGGGGCCACGACCTCCTACCGCGCAGCTCGACGTCCGAGCCTTCGCGCTGACAGACAATCTCCCGAACCACTCGAAGAGGATCCACAGCGCAATGCAATTAGCGAAACGCCACCGCCATGATCATGCCGTTGAGAATGAGCGAACCCAACATTACGTGAAGAAGGAACCTCAGCGCCATCGCAATCACGAAGCACAGAATGGCGATCGATTCCGGGACATGATAAACACAGCGAGAGCTGATCCTCCATTCTTGTCTAGGCCTGCCGCAGCGGGCCGAAACATTACTCAAGGGCTCCACGAAAATCAAGCTCCTGCTGAAAACCACCAGAAAAAGCGCCACATGCAGAATATGGCCACCACCATCTTCGGCACGGGGGGCTGCGCGACTAGCGCCGCCACGAAGGCCAAAAACGCCAGCAACGGTGCCCGAAGGAGCACCGCGAGGGGGAATATTGAGGGCTCCGCGCAGGGCGTCACCGGCAGGGTGCCCAGCGATGTCCATCTCGTAGATTATGAAGTCCACTATTTCGCAATCCTAAGGCTTCACTACGATCTGGCATTGTTTGAAGACCGCAAGGATACACCGAGTGCTGCACGTTGCCACCGCCATCTTCGTCATGGTCCACACCTTCAGGCTCCGCGCGAAGTTCACCGTTGTCGCCTCTGCCTGCTGCGCCACCGTGATCCTGCGTATCCACAGTGCCTGGGCTCACGGAGAACGGCGGCGCAGTGGTGTTGCACGGGAATTGCGGGACGGGCGGGAGGAACAAGCCAACGCCAGCAGCCAGAGGCTTCGCGATCCTTTCGGTCATCTATTCGCGAGTCTTCTTGGGAGGTCGAACTCTGTGCTGGGCGCCGCCACCGCCATGACGAGCTGCCGCAGCCCATGGATCACAACCAGGTTCCACCCACAGAGGAACACTCATAAGGTCACGCCGTCGCAGCCGAGTGCCGCCCCGGTCATTACCGCCTCGAAGAAGAATAAGGACTTCTACCTGCAACTGCACTCCTTCGCCTGTCTGTCTTTTTGCTCGCGCTCTGCAAACAAATTCGGTACACAGCCTGGCTCAAGCACAAATCAAGCTGCTCAAGATATCGTGATATCAAGAATTATGCTTTGAAAGTGCGGCTGGGTACAATGACAGATATTATGAGCAGCTTGGGTTCAACAAGCTTTCTGCCTTTACGGCGTCTTCAGGAATCGAACCCTAAAACGGCTATGGAATGTTTAAGCTTATAAGGTCCACCACATTCCCCGACCAGCCTACCCGCGAATGTGTGAAATTATGTTACGGCTATTGGTACAAGCAAATCTGACTGACTGGGCCGTTAGGTGTCTCTGTACGTGTGCAGGGATAGAGACGCACTGTTTCACCCTACACCACGCCTGTCGGTGGTGTGGGAGCACTAATGTAAGCACGCGTGCCTGCTCGGTGTCCGAAGCCCGAGCCTCCACCTGAGCGTGCAAGCCTAGATACAACATGCGATTCGAAGGGTCGAGTCCTCGAATGGCCCGGCGCCATTGTTGCCCCGAGTAACCCCTAGATATGATTAGCTGGCCGAATTGTGCTAAATCGGCCATGGCCCGCGAAGCATCCGCATTGTGAGTGATACGACGTTTTGCTTCCTGTCGTATCCACGAAAAGGCCAAAGAAGGGGCATGATGGCTACTCTGGGGGATGTACGCGTGAGGATTGCTAGGCTTGCAATACAGAGAAACGTCCAGGATACCCGAATGGACCCATCTCCCAGTCTTGCTAAACTGAAGGTCCAAAAACACAGCCTTAGACCGGGACGTGGCAAATTTATACACGAAATGGCACTGACCTAGCGGGGTACAGCATGGGGTATTCAGAAGGGCTTCGAGTCGTAACAGCTCCCTGTCGGACCCAACCCATACAAATAATCCGTCATCGAGGTATCTCGACCACGATTTTGCCAGGATGCCCGGGTGCTCTTGGATGCCACGATGTTTTTCGTAGTAATAAGCGCTTATGGCTGCTACCTGGGGGGCGCAATCCAATCCCATTGCCACGCCGCGCCGTTGGCGGAATGGCAAACCGTCGAATCTGAAATAATTATGGTTTAACAGATGCTGTAGGATGTACAGGATCAGATCTTTGATGGGGCCGTTGATGTAGGAAGCGTACATATGAATGGCCCACGACGTTGCCTGGACGCAGAAATCCACGTTGATATTCAGAAAGAAATCTTTTATGTCGAACTCGACCAACACCGACTCTGGAGGAACCTCTAGGCTCTCATACGTATGGATAGTCTGTTTAGAGCTGCAAGTAACTCCAGGGAGTTTTTCCACTATGGGTTGAAGGAGCTGCGCAATCCAAAACGCTGCTGGTTTCCTCCAGTCCCCTACGGAATTGATAATGGGTCGTACTGGTATCGTCTCCGTGGGGTATTGTCTCAGGGACTGCATGCGCTTCATATCGATGTCACTCTGCTTGTGTAGCTTGTACGTGCCTTGGAACTTGGCGTAGAAGAAAAGTTTCACGCCTGTCCGCATATCCCGCAAGAGGGTCGCCCAACCACCAAAAATGAAGTAGAAGATGCGATGGGCCCAAATTCCTGGTATGCCGGAGTGGTCTTTCAGCCAAGGTCCAAAACGTTCGAATATATAATTCCACTCTGTAAGGGCGGCTCTTTCGTGATCAGGGTCAAGGAGGGGTTGGTAGAAAGTGTCGTCGGCTGAAAACCACCAGAAAAAGCGCCACATGCAGAATATGGCCACCACCATCTTCGGCACGGGGGGCTGCGCGACTAGCGCCGCCACGAAGGCCAAAAACGCCAGCAACGGTGCCCGAAGGAGCACCGCGAGGGGGAATATTGAGGGCTCCGCGCAGGGCGTCACCGGCAGGGTGCCCAGCGATGTCCATCTCGTAGATTATGAAGTCCACTATTTCGCAATCCTAAGGCTTCACTACGATCTGGCATTGTTTGAAGACCGCAAGGATACACCGAGTGCTGCACGTTGCCACCGCCATCTTCGTCATGGTCCACACCTTCAGGCTCCGCGCGAAGTTCACCGTTGTCGCCTCTGCCTGCTGCGCCACCGTGATCCTGCGTATCCACAGTGCCTGGGCTCACGGAGAACGGCGGCGCAGTGGTGTTGCACGGGAATTGCGGGACGGGCGGGAGGAACAAGCCAACGCCAGCAGCCAGAGGCTTCGCGATCCTTTCGGTCATCTATTCGCGAGTCTTCTTGGGAGGTCGAACTCTGTGCTGGGCGCCGCCACCGCCATGACGAGCTGCCGCAGCCCATGGATCACAACCAGGTTCCACCCACAGAGGAACACTCATAAGGTCACGCCGTCGCAGCCGAGTGCCGCCCCGGTCATTACCGCCTCCACTGTCAGCATCATCGTCGCCATGATCGCGATCATCAGGGGGTTGAAGGTGCTGCATAGGTTGTGCCAAAATCCGCTTGAAGGAAAAACATGCGACGATCCAGTCGAAGTAGTCTTAGTATAGCCATGATCGGCGGCAACTGCCTCAGCGAGAGTGTGAAGAAGGGACTGAGAAACCATGACCGCCTGACCATTCAGCATGGACGCGTCCACCTGCAGCAGCAGAGCGAAGTTGACGATAGCGTTCTCCCAATGTGTGTTCAGCCGCACACGGCACTGACGTCCTGCCACCAGATGGGCTCCCAGCCATGCGAGACGGGAGGCGGAAACCATCGGCCGCGGGAGGGGGGACGCGGCCGCGCGAAGCAGAGGAGGCGGAAGAGTGGCCGCGCACGCGGCCCAGTGGCCCCTGGGACCCTCAAGTGCTGGACCCACGATGGCTAGGAGGAGGAGGAGGCGGAGGAGGAGGGGGAGGAGGAAGAGGAGGAGGAGGAGGAGGAGGAGGAAGAGGAGGAGGACGAGGGAACTGGAAGAGGAGCTTTCCCCCATTGCGCTGGCCACCTCCACCACCTCCACCTTCTCGGGGTCCGGGCTCCTGTAGGACACCCGGCCCACGCGGCTGGGCGCCGGGCCCGACCGAGCCCGCGGCGGGCTCTGGAACGCGCCCGGGCTGGGCGCGAAGCCCTCGCTCGAGGCGTCGCCGGCGGCAGCGCCTCGCGAGGCGCCCGGCTGGAACTCGTCGGGAGTGCGGGCGCCCCCCACCTTCAGATCGGGGGCGCGCAAACATGGATTAGCGATCCATGGATTTGGCGCGCGGTCGCCAAATCCATGGATCGGGGGAAGTGCCCTCCCTAAAATACGGCCGGTGCCGCCTCGTTCGGCGGCGGAAATCCGCGATTTCCCATGGATACGGGACCCGTCGCTAATCCACGCCCTCTTGATCCATGTTTGCGATCGCCTGATCCGAGTAGGAGATCGACTACAACATCGATTCAGCACAACAAATTGAAGTGCTCGTCGGAGCTGCGAGAAAATGCGCTGAGCCCTCGTGGACCTACGAAGATTCTGCACGCTTGCCTGTAGATTCGACGAACATGTCAAGCCTGGGGTGGATCGAGGTTGTAGTCGATATCCTCTCCTAACCTCGTCGGCGACCACGCGCAAATCCCACCCGCTCCCCCTGCTCTGGGGGTCCCACAATATGACTCCTGGGGGGCTCCGTCACGCTCGGGGTCAGGACATCGCCTCTTTGGAGGCACCGCGACATGGAGGGGGAGGGCTTTCTCCGTCCTTCGAGTAGGAGACCGACTACAGAATTGATTCACGCCAAGAATTTAACGGGCGAGCAACGGTATCATGTAAACTTTTCCGCAGTCGGGGGTGCCTGTCCCAATGCGGCTGGAACAATTATACCCTTCTGGTGGCACGTCAAGGTATAAGCTTTCCAGCCGCCCTGGGGCAACACCCCCGACAGCGGAAAAGCTTAGTTTGTACCGTTCTTCGCCCGCTGCTAAAGAAATTTGCTCGCCGAATCTGTAACACATGCGCAAACTTTTCGTAGATCTACAACTGTTGTACGCATGTGCTTGCAGATTCTGCTCAGATTTCCACTTTGGGGCAAATCAGTGCTGCAGTCAATCTCCTGCTCGAGCGAGGCTTCCTCGTGTCTGGGGTAGCTGCGTTGCGGTCGGTTCGTGTGACGACCCTGGCGATCATGGTGGAGGGCGGAGTGCCCCTGCCGCGCGTCCACTTCTTCCCCGCTTGGACTTTGCCTGCAGCGGAGGCCCGATCGCAAGAAAGACCTCTCACAAGAGGCCCAACCCAGAGGCCCAGGGGACGTCCATGGACCTTCGGTGCGGGGACTCCACGCTCTCCGCCGCAAGCCCATCGAGACCCGAGAAGCCCAGGGCACCCTGGAGAGGCAAGCAGGGTGCTTCTTGGCAGGGGCCTCCACTGCAAAAGGGGGTCCCACTCGTGGGCGAGAGGTGCCGGCGGGTGCGGGGTCCTCCGCGGCCTGCGCTCCTCGGCCTGCCCGTGCAGCGCCGAGCAGCGCCGAGAGAGGCAGAGCAAGGGGCGAGGCAGCGCCGCGCAGTGCCAAACCATGCACATCAGCGCAAAGAACTGCCAAGCGATGCCCGACCCTACCATGCAGCGACAAGCAATCGCAGGTAGTGCCTACCTAGCAGGGCGAGGCAAGCCAAGCACGGCGGGGCAGTGCCAGGCAATGCCTTGCGTTCCATTGCTTTGCCGTGCTCAGAACTGAGGTAGTCTGCTTTGGGGAAAAAACCTTGATTTGGGCCGCCCTGGATTCAGTAAGCATAACAGCAGAAATTGTGGGAACAGACTTTGAAGGAAACCTGCCGCAGCGTGGAACCGTGTGGGGGGGGGCGGGGGCGGATACGTACCGCAGTGACGTGTGGACCCGCTAAAATGATGTTCGGATATGGTCGTAGGGCCTCGTCCACTGTGGCACCGGACGCCTCCTTGTTGGCGTCGAAATCCACAAATCCGTCAAAACTGCTGACGTCGATCTCTTCCCAGACGCCCTCGAGGCCCTCGATGGTGTCCCAGATGTCCTTCGGATCATACTGGCCGCCCCCGGCGTCCTGCTCACTCTGGCCCCGCGCCTCCATGACCAATTTGTAGGCCGACATGACCCTTCCGAATCGCTGCGTCGCTAGAGGATCGTCCGGCCTTTTGTCCGGATGGTCCGTTTTCACCAGCTCCCGGAAGCGCCTCTTGATGGCTGGCCGAGACGAGCCTCTGGGCGCCGAAATGGGTATGGAAAAAACATGGATACGACGCCCAAGGAGGAGGAGGAGGAAGATGAGGAGGAACATGAGGAGGAAAAGGAGGAGGAGGAGGAGGAGGAGGAGGAGGAGGAGGAGGAGGCGGAGCGTCCTCTGGAATGTCAGAACTCCTTACCTAGCCACTCTACGGGCCCTTCGGGCCGAATTGCCTCCAGAAGGGAGGTCCACAGCTTGACGCGCAGCCCTGGCGATCGAACGGGCGACCGCGGCAGGAACCGCTCCGCTGCTGCCCTCTCGCTTCTCAAGATGGAGAAGACGGTGCAAGTGGAACATCAACGCCACTCCTCGAGTCGAATCCAGCGTGGGGACGACGAGGGCAAGGGCAGAGAGCGGGTCACTGGGCAACGGACGACCTAGGGCCACCCGCACCAGCTCACGAAAGTGTTGACACCAGAAATAGTGCTTCAGGCTATCTGGGGCATCACAACCCAGACAGCACCTACGGTCCCGATTCTGGAGACGGGTGTCAGTGGCCCATCCCCCGAGCCAAGTCCTGATGCATGCGCACCTCCAACTCGGGGGCGCACGCATCAGTACCTGCTCCACGTCGTGCCACACTACAGCCGCAGCCTCCAGAGGGGGGCACTCCGAACCATTTGGGGAGCCTCTCCGAAATTAGGCCCCTCAGATCCCCATCCCTGGAGGCCCGCAGGCCCACTAAAAGTTCACGCTGAAGACGCCTCCTCCGCCCGTCCTCCCACCGCCCCGCCCCACCCTGGCTAGAGGAAAGGAGAGGTGGAGAGCCGCTCTTTTCGAGCAGCTCGCGCCCCGCCACCTCCGCACGCGCCAGCGTGACGGCGGGGGCGGGCGACTCCCACCAGGATGGCCAGGGCTGGCCTGTCGTGCACCGCACCAGCGGCAGCCTGCGCGAGGCCACCTCGCTCAGGTGCGCAGCAGCCCTCCGCCAGGTTTCGAGCGTCGAGAGGGCCGAGCGCATGAGGGACGCCGCCAGGAGGTCAGACGTTGGCACACATCTTGGGCCCCCCAGCGTCTCGAGGTCGAAGAACGTGTTCTTCTTGAACAGGCTTCCCGAGCATCTGGCCAGCCGGCACAGCAGGAAGCGCTCATCATCAACCAGCTCGGACGGCATCGGCCAGAGCTGCGCCTTGTAGGCCAGGACGGGCTGGCACCGTCGACTGTACTCAAAGAAGACAGCCGTCATGTCCAGTGGCGAGGCCGCGAGCGCCAGGACCCTCTCGCGCATGCGCGCAAGTGGCGCAGCCCACTGGGCCGCAAGCGATGCACCAGGGCCCACAAGGCACCCCAGCAGCTCCACCGCCGAGGCCGCGGTGAAGGAGCCCCACCCGCAGGCCTCCCCCAGACACTTCCTCATCGCGTCCTCCACCTCCGCCGAGAACGGGGCCCAGAGCGGGACGGCCGCGCACTTCTTGGGCTGGAGCTGGAGGCCAGCGAGGCGCTCTGCGAGGCGGAAGATCCTCGCCAGGGTGCGGAGCCCCCGCCTGCAGTAGATCAGGGCCTGGATGTCATCAGCACACCAGCGGGTCATGCCAAGAGCCTTGGCCTCCAGCTGCTGCATGTGCGCCTCCACGAACGGCTGCGCGCCGATCGCGAACATCGTCCCAGAGAGCGGGTCCCCCTGCAAGATCCCGCACAGGATGACAAAGAGGACCCAGTGGCAGGGCCCCGCCTCCACGACCTCGACGTTGGCGTAGGACTCCTTCAGCAGGTGCTCCAGGCCGAGCGGCACCGCCCACGCCTCCAGAACCCACCACATCCAGTCGTGGAGGAGCGACGGTAAGGCGTGGGCGAAGTCGAAGCTCAGGAGGGTCGGCTCCTCCCAGCCACGAGCCTTCTCCAGCGCGCACATGGAGGCGACACGGGACATCGCGTCCAGCTCCACCAGGTTATCCAAAAAGTTCCGCCCCGTGATGAAGCCACGCTGCGCCTTTGAAGCGCCACGGCCAATCATGCCCTTCAGCCTGAAGTTCACCGCGGAGGCGATGGCCTTGGGGCCCGTGGAGCGCAGCATGAGTGGTCGGGTCTCATTCGGCTTCCTGATAACCTCCATACCATCACCATCCAGCACCTTCTTCGGCGGGAAGATGGCGATGCTCATGTTGAACTCCCTACGCATGGGGCGGCCCAAGGTCATCCACCTCATGGCCGCGAGGGGCACCTCAGAGCCCGCCGAATGCATCAGCCACGCCCGCGCAGGCAGGCCATCAACCCCAGGTGCAGCAGGCCGCGCACGTCGCAGAGCCTCCTCCATGTGCATGGCCGAGGGGGGCGCCAGAGAGCTCCAGTCAACCTCCTTCATGCCGTACTCCGCGATGAAGACCTTGGAGTCCCGCTCACGACGGCACCGCTCCGAGGAGATGCCCTCGGCTGCCAGGCGCGCAGCGCGTGCAGGGGGGCAGAAGACCTCGCCCCAGTGGTTCGCCAGCGCCTCATGGATCTCGGCGGGCGAGGTGAGCAGCCTGCCGTCAGGTTCTTCCACAGCAGCGAGATGCCGCCGCGGGAGGACCGACCACAGAGCAGCACGACGTTCCAGGGCACGGCGCTGACCAAGGAGACGACGGCGATCAGAGACACGTAGCTGCTCTTCATCAGCTTCAAGCTCCGCCTGGATCTCGGCACGCCTGGCCCTGGCCACGCGCCGCTGCGCCAGGACAAAGCGTCTGAGGAACTCCGCATGGTTCTTCAGCACCACCAGGAGGAGGAGGGGGATGATGATGATGAGGAGGAGGAGGAGGAGGAGGAAAGGGAGGACAAGACAGGACAGGACATCCGCATAAGGGGGTCAACGTCGACACATAAAAGGAGCTGTGATTACGACTAGCTAGATCCCCTGCGATGAAATTACGCCGCAGACTCAGTCTTCCCATGGGGGCCGGCAGGGGGCATACCCCGAAGCTTCAAGGGGCGAGCTCTGAAATGGTCCAGGAAGAGAGGCTCGCTACCTTGTGAGTGCGAGTCCCTCTGGGTCAGTGCGGGGGAGCAGCTGTTGGCCCTCTCCAGTGCCCATGACGATGGGGGCGCGCTGGGCGAGCAGGACTCCCAAGCAGGGGGGAGAACGACGACACGACTTCACTCGACGCAAGGAGGGGAGGAGGGGATGCAGGAGGCCCTTTCGTACCAAGATTTGCTGGGGGGGCCTAGTTACATTCTTCCCACGACTTGCTGTGCAGGAGGAGGAGCGCAGCGTAGAGGAGAGATCCATCCGACCGACCACTGCGCTCAGCTCAACAGCTGAGCACACTTCCCCAGGCTCGAGCGACTGGCTACACCAGCGATCAGAGCGGAGGACAGAGAAGCAGGGGCCGCGGCCGAAGGCAGCGGGGCGGGCGGCGGGCGCCCGCCTGTGTCGAGCGTCACGTGCATGTGGACGGAAAGCGGTGTTTCAATCAGTGCCGCAGGAGGCGGCAAGCGAGAGCGAGGAAGGGTGGCAGCAGCAGGAGGGACATCAGCAGGAGCGAGAGGGCGGGTCGAGAGGACAGCCATGGAGTCACGAGCGCGGCGGACGGCCACGGAGCGAATGAGGGGACCGAGCGGGCAAACGAGTGGCAGACTATTTTCGGCGCCACGCTCACAATTCACCCTTGAGGTGCAGAGGCCAGGATTTCCACCACCATTCAGCAGCTTCGGCGACGACTGAGCCTGCAACAACGGGCTCGAGGAGCACCCGTGCACAGGACTTTGCGTTCCGCCAGTAACATCAAGCGTCATTGGCGATGTCTGAGCCTGCACCAGCGAGCTCACAGAGTTCCCATGTCCAAGACTTTGCGTTCTGCCAGTAACATCCAGCAACGTAGGCGACGACTGAGCCTGCAGCATCGGGTTCGAGGAGCACCCGTGCTCAGGACTTTGCGTTCCGCCAGTCGCATCCAGCGATATTGGCGACGACTGAGCCTGCAGCAGCGGGCTCGAGGAGCACCCGTGCACAGGACTTTGCGTTCTGCCAGTAGCATTGTCATCCAACTCGTCGCTATGACCACCACGTTCGGGAGTGGCGGTCAGCGTCGATGGAGTGCTCGGGCAAGACATCGTGGGAACCAGTCTTGGAGTCAAGCATGGTGGCTGTCCTGGGGTCAAGCCTGCGCCAGCGTCGAAGTCGGCTTCACCATCGCCAGCGGCCGAGACCGCATGGACGACAACAGGGTCGCCAGCAGAGGAGGTGGAAGAGTCCTCGGTGAACGTGCGCGGTGTCGGTATGATGGACGGCGGCGGCTGCCATTTCTTTTCTATCTGGTCAGTGGGAGACGCCATGCGAAGAGTTCTGACCGCTGCTCGAGTCGCCGAGTTCAGAGCATCAGGGGAAACCCAATTGCGCTCACGAATAGTATGATACGTAGTGAACATCACGACCATCTCCTCCACCCGTTCAACACACGGTGCTGACAGGCACAGACGTTCGTGAAGAGAGGCAGGGAGAGAGCGACCCAGTGCGCGGCCGACAGCTCGAACCAAACGGTGGCACCGCATGTAGTGGCACTGTCTGTCTGCACAAGAGTTACACCCAAAGATACAGAGCCTCTTCCCCGAATGGTAACTTATTCGATAACTTGTGAGCCAAGCAGATGCCCACGTCTTGATAACAGGGAAGATCCAGCTCGTGGGCAGCAGCTGCAGCAGCATCTGAATCGCCTCCCACGGCACCCGATGTAGAAAGGGCTCATACATGGCAAAGTAGCGTGCCAGCCTGGTCTCGAAAGTCGAGCTCAACGGGAACGGCGTAACGAACTGCTCGAAAAGTGCCGAGGTGGCTGCTCTCTGAAATTTGGGCTTCCGCCCCGAGACCAAGAGCTCCGAAGCGATCGCAGACGTACAACAGCGCAGGATGTCTGAAGAGTAGCCAGCATGTGCAGAGCCCTGACGCAGCCAGGAGTAGGTCTGCAGGATGGGTGGGAGCCGCCAGTGCCGTCCAGCGTCACACATCCAATCCTCTCGCGTACGACAGGTCGCGAGGGGAGCGTCATCAAATCGTCCCTGCATAATATCATCATTCCATGAAAGAGTGGTGTTAGTAATGTGAGAGCGTATGTGAGTATGCTCGCTGAACGTAATGGTAGCAGCTCGGGACAGCGCGGCAGCACATGCATGTCGCACAAGCGGGATCTTGGGGCCTCCCCACGAAGAGAGCTGGGCCCAGCCAGAGGCAGGTAGAGTACCCATAAGAGCACGGAATACCTGGGTAAGCACTGAGAGCTCGAAAGCGACCGTTCTGGGAGGCAGAGGGAAGAACTGGGCCAGGTAGGACAATACAGGTAGGGCTCTGGATCTGTAGAGCACGCCGTTGATTCCCAAGGGGGCGGAGCCTGAACCGAGGAGCCTAGCACGCAACTTCAATTTCGTCCGAGCAGCGTCCCACTGCATCTGGATCGTGACATCGGGCCCCAAGAGAACGCCCAGGTACATCAGGTGGGCCACGACCTCGAACGCTTGCCATTCGGGAACAAGCCGGCCAAGGATAGCACGTGTCCTTTCCAGAAGGGCAGGGGTGAGCGTCGCGTGCAGCGGGGTGACTTTGCATTTACTGACCTTGAGGCAGAGCCTAGTTAGGAGCCGCGTAGTCGTCATCACACGGTAGAGAACCTGGAGCCCGCGAGCCTCGAACAAGACAGCCCCAATATCGTCCGCGCAGGCCCTCGCCAGGCCAAGTCCAGAGTCCTCAAGCGAATATTCCAAGTCAGTCAGGAACGGGGCCGTGCTCAAAGCGCACAGGGTCCCAGACAGACCGCGTCCCTGAATGATCCCCGACCTCAGCCAATGCACCGAGTGGAGCAGGCCACCGTGGGCCACAACCCCTTCGATCGCAGAGTACAACCAGGCCAGGAAGTGCATCACTGGGGATGGCAGACGGAGGTGAGCAAGGAACAGCATCATGAACTCCTGGGAGAGGCTCGGGCAAGCCTGGCCGAAATCGAACGAGACCAGCAGCGGCATCTTGGTCGAGGCCAGCGGGTGGGCCCCAGCGATGCGACTGAAGCCATCGAGCTCTAAGATGTTGTACCCGAAGTTTCTGCCCTGTACGAAGCCGCGCTGCGACTGAGGGACGAGGGAGTCGACCACACCTTTAAGCGATCGGTTCACAGCAGACGTCAGAATTGTCAGGTCGGCGTTGCGGAGCCCGAGGACCCTGATCTTATCGGCAGAGCGTATGCAGCCTCCAGAGGCCAGGTCTTCGTGTTCCGATCCCTTAGGAAGGTACGCTTGCAGAGTAACACTGGCTGCGTCGAAGAGAGACTGCCCACGCAAGATCCAATCCACCATAAGACATAATACTTCCAGGCAACAGTCGGCAGCTGCCCGAGCAGCGTACGGCAGTCCGTCAACCCCAGGAGCCGGGTGGCGAGCACGTGCTACAATATTCCGAATCGTCGCTTTCGAGGGTGGCGGGACGTCAGGGAGCACGGGTGAGGGACACTGTTGTTCGATGCATGTCTGAGCAGCTTCGAGATCGACTTCCGAGCGCGAGAAGACAGGGCGCCAATATTTCGTGAGTGCATCAACCCTTTCCTCTGGAGCTTCAGCTAACCGAGGGCCGCCCCGAACAGCACGAAGAACCAACCTCCGTGAGCATGGGGCCCAGATTGCAGCTTGGCGTTCCAACAGCTGCCGACGACGAAAAGAAGTGGGCGGGCGGGTCGAACGAGAGCCTGCAGCAGCGTCAGCAGCGGCGCGAGTCTCTTTTTCCAGGAGACGCATATGCACTCCATCCGTCCACATGTGGAACGATTCAGGGTGACGAAGGACAACTTGTGAGCCTCCGACTTCGAGCAGGTCAGCCGCGGTAGCCGAGGTCGCCACCAGCCGACGGGCGAGCGGGAGATCTTGTCGCCATACTGCTCGCGCACACCCACGGGCCACCAGCAATGCAGTTTCGTCGCCAGAGGGATGGTAAACAAACATCCAGTCACGGACTTCACGGGCAGCTTCTTTCAACATGCCCTTGAAGTGTTCCTGGTAGACGGCTGCAGAGCACCACTTCTCAGCGCCAGCGCCATCTTTGAACGCGCCCTCAATACGTTGACGAAAAAGAGGACTCTCGAAGACATGGCGAGGAACTGGCTGCTCAGATCTGGGACGAGCTTGGCGTTGACGAAGCACCGTGAGCAGAGCAGCGTGGTCCGATATCAATGAGCGAGATAATACTTCGGGGTCTCCTATGGTAGAGGATTCCGCACTCATCTGGCACATCATCCATCCAGCCACTGAGCAGAAGAACCGATCGAGGCAGCTGACCGAGTTGGTGTCCTTGGTGTAGTGCGTCGGTGACTCCGAAGAGATCTCAAGAAATAATCCCAATGTCCTCAGCCACCGAGCAGCCATAGCACGATGGTTTCGAGGATCCGTGGCTCGAGCAGGTTCAGGCCGTTGAAGAAGCAACGCCTCATCAGGGCCGAAGTTGAGGTCGCCCTGCACGATCACCAGGAAGTGTAGAGGATCAGCAGCTGCTCGCACCCGCGCAGCGTCGATCTCAGCACATACCTCGTCAATCTGCCTCGTGTTGAGACCATGGTTATGTATATTGAAGTGCGCCAGCTGAAACCCCTGCCCGACAACGTCGACTCGAAGGACCCTACCTTGCACGACGGCCGTAGCATTGCTGGTAACATCGAGCTCCGACGCGAGCTTCGGTAAGACAGTGGCAACCCCTCCCGCAGCCGAGCCCCCATCATCGGCTGTGCAAAACGAGGCGTGAACCACGGCATCACGATGAAGGCGACATAAATAGTCTTCAAGTTGCCGACGATCTTGATGAACTTCCTGTAGAGCCAGGATGGACCCAGGGAGGTGCAACTTCTTCAAATATGACGACTTGAGTCTGCTCTTCGCTCCTCGATACTGTAACATAGCACGAGCATTCCAAGTAATGAATCGCATCGATTCATTCCCATTCCCGCGAGACGGAGTGTGAAAGAGCCGCATGCAGCCATCAAAGACACCACGTTGTAGGAGGCGGAGGTGCCGTAATCTCATCCACCACTGCTTGGATGTCAGCACGCGTGAGCTTGATGTCCAGGATGCCCTCTTGGTTGAACTGCACAGTATATGGAGCGTCTTCAGGGTTCGCTTGGATCTTAAGCACGCTGGTCCAACCGCTCTTGAGGATGCCTCGTTCACGATCGACAGACCACCGTCCACCGAACTTGTCTGCGCACGCACCACGTAACCGACGAAGAGCCATCTCCGTCTTGACCTGTCGAGGGGATTTGTCGGGCCCCAGATGCAGGCGAGCGTCGGCTGCGGCACCGGTGGCCACGACGTTGAACACTCTCCACTGATCATTGCGGCGGAGGTTGCTGAGCACCTTCGAGACCTTGCGGGAGGCGAGGCCAGTGGCGCCGTTGAACTTGATGAGAAACCTGCGTGCGGGAGTCGGCGAAGGGCAAGAAAGGGTGTACTGGTCTGCCTCGAATCCGAGCTCCGAAAGGAACGGGGCCAGCACATCACGAACCTGCGGTAATCCAACCATCTTAGTACACATCGCGACCACCACAGCGGGGTCCGTCTGGCGGTCAAAGCTGGCGGGCGGAGAAGGGGCAGCGTCCTGTCGCTTGGCCACATGAAGACCTTCACGTAGTTCGGCAATCTCGGCACGTAATTGTTGCAACTGCTCTGTGTGTGAGTCCAGCTCGATATTGAAGAGTAGCGACTTTTCCAGTGACATCATCAATCTGTCGCTGCATCTTTCTAGAGAGTTCGTCAAGCTGCGGTCGGAAGATGCCCATCGCCTTCTGGTCCAGCTCTGAAGGCTGGTCTTCCAATTCCTTCTGCAACACAGCCAGGGTCTGAAGGATGGCGGCATTGCTGGATTTGACAGTGTCTCCAACTGTGGAGGCGACAAGCTCTTCGAGCTCCGTGCGCAGCTCGCTGAACTGGGAGGCGACACCATCGGCAATAACGGTTTTGATATACTCGTCGGGGTAGTCGTGGGTGACATGCGCAGCGGATGCTCGAGCAGGGTCAGGACTTGCGGAGACTCCACCAGAAGGCACAGGAGCACCGCCAGCATGTACATCAGGAGAATGAGCCTGGATCTCCGAGCGCCCGAAGACGAGCGCGGCACCTGCAGCGGCAGCACGGGAGGCGAGACGGGCGACACCTTTGCCACTGCCTGAGGACCCCTTGCCCTCCTCCGTGCGGGGATACTTGGACTCAGGCGAGCCATGGACACGTTGGCTTTCAGCGCGTTCATCGTCAGGGAAGGTGGGCATGTCTTCGATCTCCTGGGCACGGCTGGCCAGGGCAGCGGCGTCGGGAAGTCCCATTGCACCAGGGACGTTCGCTCGCACAGGAACGGGAAACGCCTCCGTTTACCCGTGGGCGCGAGCGTCGGAGAGAAGGGAACGCTCTGCCAGACCGCAAAGGGTCTTGTCTGCCGCGGACTAGCGGTATCCACTTGTTCCGCTGGGGAACAAAGCATCTTGAGCCAAAATGGCTACGGGTGTGCAGGAGGAGGAGGAGGAGGCGGAACACACGTTGTCCAAAAGCGACAGCGGCCGCTGCTGGGCAGACGGTTTGCTGTCTCAAGTGGACAACGTCCGCGGCGACGCCGGCAGCGAATCCTGCTCCAGAAGGGGCAGGGACGGCTTCGATCTTCGAGCCAATCTCTTCCGCACCCACTCTCGCCATCGCTCGGACGGCTGCTCCCCGTGCAAAGTTCGCCTTCGTGCCTGCATTGTTTCTCGCAAGATGACCCAAGATGCCCCTCGAGGGCCTCGCCGACGAACAACGCACACGTCCCAACGATGCCGAGCATTTCGATCACACCGAGGGCCCTCCGGCAGGTCCAGCAGCGCCCAGGCCGCCCGGAGCCTGTCGGCGACTCCGAAGGGTGGGGTTTGCAAAGGGTGTGGTTTGCAAATGGCACCCTGAAGGGCACCCTGGGGGGCGGGCGAGGACCTCAACAGAGCTCTCCGCCGCGCCCTGAGGAGGCCCGACGAGGACGGTGTCGTGCCCCCCAGGCCCCGACGGTGCCGATCGCAAACCACACCCTGGCGTAACCATACCCTTTGTAGTCGCCGAGCCTGGCCGCCGCTGGCGTGCCGGACCGCGCCTCGGCGCGCCGCGCAACGGCCCAGGCGCTGCGGCGACCCCCCCGCCGCTCCCGCGCGGCGGCCCGCGGCCACGCGGTGCCCAACGCCCCCGTGGCAGCGGGTGCGGCGCCGGGCGCCCGCCTGACAGGGGCCCCGAGCAGCGAGCCGGTGGCCAGCAACGCCGCGAGCCCCAAGCGGCGGCGGCCCGGCCGGGGCGCGCCGTCCATCGCCCGAGGGGCTGGGAGGGCGAAATGCCAAGGTTTGCCCTCGAGCCTCAGGGTTTTCACTGGTTTTCAGGCGTTTTCGGCCCAGCGGGGCGGGAGAAAAGTCTATCAAGGCCAGAGGGCAGCGGCCGCGGGGAGGGCGGAACCGATCCGCCACCCTTGTGCCGACCTGTTCGGCCAGTGGGCGCTAGTGCTGACAAGGCAGGCTTCGCGCAGGCGGCGCCCCAGAAAAATCCTCCTCCTCCTCCTCCTCCTCCTCCTCCTCCTCCTCCTCCTCCTCCAGCCCGAATCGAGCCCACTCGCCACCCACATTCAGCGGCCGAGCGGGCTCTGACGCGGAACGGGCTCAGCAGGAAAACCCTGGGTCGTCGTCGTCGTCGTCGTCGCCGTCAAGCGGGGCGTCCTCGGACAGCACCAGCCACTGGCGCCCCCCCACGGCCAGCGGGCTGATCTCTGGCGCAGCGCCCGCGCCTTGGTGCTCCCGCGCGGCACTCACCCTAGGAGAACACACGCTCATTCCCATCGTCCGCTCCACTATCCTCATCCTCCTCGTCCCTCCTCGTCTCTCTCCTTTCCTCCTCCGCCTCCTCCTCCTCCTCCTCCTCCTCCTCCTCCTACTCCTCCTCCTCCTCTCCTCCTCCTCCTCCTCCTCCTCCTCCCTCCTCCTCCTCATGCCCCATCTCCTCCTTTCACCCGTGCTCCGCCTCATCCTCCGCCTCCTCCTCCTCCTCCTCCTCCTCCTGCTCCTCCTCCTCCTCCTCCTCACCCCTGCTCCACCTCATGCCTCCGCGCTCCTCCTTAGCCTCCCTCTCTGTTTCATATCCTCCTGCTCCTATTGTTCCTCGTGGCGCATCGGGCTCCAGGGTAGCAGGTGTACCCTGATATGTGTGCTTCTAAGGATACGACGTTGCCTAGCATGGACATCTCGCAGACGCAACCTATTTGCCTTTCGTGGCGCTGCTGGCCAAACGGCTGACAGAGGGCTAACGAGATAATTTTGACGGTGTCGCTGGGGGTAGTCGGGCGCACCGCAAAGGCCTCTCTGGAGATCTCGGGGAGGGCATTCTCTGAAGAGTTGATGGTCTTTGAGTGGGACCGCGAGGAACTAAGCCCTGCTTCAGGATTACCGAAGATACCCAGAGAAACCTGATGCAAGGCTTCGTGCGCTTCGTCGCCTGCGACCTTCCCGGCACTGCATGGGATCCCAATTGGCTTAGTTGTAGTGCTTGCGATTGTGCATCTGCGCCTGGAAGTTGCTAAAATGATATCCATCCGAGGGGGGGTGGGGGCCTCGATAGACAGCGCCCCAATGCGCGGCAAGATGACGGGCGCTGGTTTCGAGGTCGGGGATTACATTCCTGTCGAGGCCGTGAACTCTGCTTAGAGCAAACCTGCGACGCTGAGGAGACTACCGAGTTCAAACGTGCTGCAATATTTGAGCACGCTCATCACCAGGGGCCGATGCGCGCCCACCATGTTCGTGCTGCATCATAGACGGCTGGAGAGCGGCCATCTCGCGGTGAAGGTCGGGGCATCCCGAAAAATGCACTCAGCAACATTGACCAGAACACTAAACCGATGTAGAGCGTGGACACATTGGTACACATCCCAAGACTTGTCATCCCGACCCGCTTGAAGTACTCGCAGGAATCGCGGGTAATTCTGAGGATCAGATTACGAGTCGAATTTGCAATGGCATCACTGGCGACAGACATCGCTTGTTTAGCAACTTTCAGGCGCTCGAAAGGTCGGATCAGCATTTCGACGGAGGCTACGGCATTCTGCATCTCGGCCTCGAAACCGGGTCGCTCGGCGACCAAAGGGGGGATGGGCGGAGTCGCACTGCCGCAGGGCGAGAACTCAAACCAGGCAGGTATGTGATCGCTAGGTAGAGGTGTGTGTCACGTGCGAGCCAAATCACTCCGCTCCTCAATTTGACATCGCCGCGAAGTGTGACCAGTGCGCGCTCGGCTGGAAAACCACGCGGGCAGCTGCTCGGATAACGCGTCGTTTTGCTACAGCATCGCTAAGTGAAGGGCCCAAGCGCGTGCGAATGAGCTGCAGCTGCCCGAATTTCCCTGAGCAAGCGGTTGAAGCGATCTGGTCTGGAATTACGTTGTGCTAGCCCGGGTGGCCACCACGCGCTGTTTTCTTGCAATATATGTGGCGCAATCCAGGTGGTGCAATCCACGTGGTGCAACCTACACGAGCAGCCCATGTGGTGCATTCTACGTGTTGCAAGGCATCGCAACAAACCGAAACACAATACGAATCAATGCAAGGCAATGCAGCGCAAGGCAACGCAACGCAACGCCAAACAACGCAGAACGATTCAACGCAATGCCACGCAATGCCCAGCAACGCGGCGCATCGCAAAACAAAGCAAAGCAATGCTACGCAATGCGGAGCATTCTAAGGCAGTGCAAAGCAATGGCCATCAACGACATGCAGTGCAAAGCTATGCAACCCGATGCAACACAATGCTTCACAGTGCAGCATCCATGCGAAGCGATGCTCAGCTGCGCACCGCGATGCGGTTGCAACGCAATGGGGCGCAACGCAATGCAAACAACTGCGGGGCAAGACGAATCGAACCAACGCAAGGCAATGCAAAGCAAAGCGAAGCAACACAATGACATGCAGTGCAATGCAACGCAATGCAGCGTAATCAGATCGCCACCGACTCTACCACCGTTATCACGAGTAAGAGACTAGGCAGGAAGGTGTAGACCCGAGAAAACAGTTCGCCGGATTCCACAAACCTTGGTAGGTTCGGTGACACATATGTGCGAGGCAATGGGGGGAGACTTGGGCGAGACGTGTACGGAGAGGGCACGGAGCATCTTCCATTCCAAACCTCAATCCCGTGCCCACTTCGCATTCTCGGTTTCGCACTTACATTGGGATCGTCATTTTCAGATAAGCTTGTGTCTCATCAGCTCTACCACCGTCATCGCGACCTGGCCCGCACACGCGACACTGTAAGAGACTAGGCAGGAGGGTGAATACCAGAGAAAATAATTCGCCTTCTGGGGCGGCATTTGGGGCCTCTGGGGCCATCTTGGAGCGTCGGAAGCCCATAACGCGAGAACGCGAAAAACATAAACAAACACAAGGAACATCACTGATGTTTGCCTCTTTGGGCCCTCTTGGGGGTCCTCTTGGAGCTCTCTTGGGGCTTCTTTTGGGCCTCTTGGGCCGTCTTGGCGCCATCTTGGGCGTCTTGGAGCGTTCTTGGGCTGTCTTGGAGGTCTCTTCGACCCTCTTGTCCCGTCAAGGGGCCTCCTGGCCTCTCCGGGCCGCCTCTGGGAAGCGAATCGGGAGGGTTGGCAAAAAGCGTTCCTGGATGGTTGCGGAGTGGCCGCCCCAGGCTGAGGGGGCGGCTATGTTTTTACTTACTAGATACATATATCATTGAATACCCTCCTGCTCCTCCTCTTCCATCTACTCTCGCTGTCTCTCTCTCTCTCTCTCTCTAGATCGTGTTCTTTATTTCTCTCTCTCTCTCTCTCCCTCTATATATATATATATATATATATATGTATATGTATATGTGTATATATATATATATGTGTATCTCTCTCTCTCTCTCTCCTTGTTCTCGTCCCTTCATCCAGCACCCCATCGGGCATACCAGACAGATCGGCGATACGAGAACTGAGTGAACCAGACAGATCAGGCAGAGGTAGCCATACAGGTCACAATTACAGCAACAAGACCAGTCAGACCAGCCAGGCAAGCTTCATCAAGCCGAACCACACCTACCAGCAAGATACATGAATATGCCACTGATGCCAAAAACTGCAGTGACCGGTGACACGCTGTGTCCTGCGAGCTGAAAGCGTGCCGTTTCGCTCCGCGTGGCGGGAGGCTGGGAAAAGCTCGGGACGCTGACGCCCGGGAGCCTTGGCGTGGTTGGCGTGTCGCGCCGAAGCGCGGTGGGCCAGAACTGGCGGCGCGGCACTGCGCCAACTTCCTCGACAAGTAAGTTCAAGTTCGAGAAGCCAAATTGCAGCGCAAACAAAAGCCAGTACAACCAATCTGCCACGCAAAACGGCTGCAGTAAACTTTATAGCCGGAGTGCAGTATCCCCAAACAGGGTTTTTGAACCCACTGCGGTTTCCAAGGTCGAGTGCGTGCCCAGTGCGGGCTGGTATGGCATGTTAGAACATGATAACATGATGTGTGCACATGCGATGTTTACACGAAAACTTGTTTACACGAAAAAAGGTGTGACACAAGTCCACGTCACACTCGCTTCCCGTTAGGTCCTCTCCTGCAACTCCCTTCTTTCTCCTTCCTCCTCCTCCTCCTCCTCCTCCTCCTCCTCCCCCTCCTCCTGCCTGCTCCCTCATCCACATCCTCCTCCTCCTCCTTCTCCCTTCCATCCCCTCCTCCTTCTCCTCCTCGTAATCCCGAACGGCATCTCCGAGCCCAGAGTTGCGAGGATGTCTCCAGCGTAACGGGCCAGACCACCTCGCGCGCGGCATCTCGGACCCCAGAGTTGCGACGATGTCTCGGGCGAAACGTGCCGCGAGGAAGTCTCAGGCGAAACGGGCCGGACCACCTCGAGCGCGGCGTCTCAGAGCTCGGAGTTGCGGGGGCCTCCTGGGGCCTCCTGGGACCTCCTGGGGATCTCCTGGAGCTTCCTCCTGGGCCTCCTGTGGTCTCCTGGACCCCACCTGGGGCTTCCTGAAGCTTCTTGGGGCTCCCAGGGGGAAATATCTAACATGTGGCCGTCTGGGCCCCCCAAAATGGGGGGGGCCACAAGAGCAGGAAAAATCAACGAATCGACACCGGATGTGTATTAACTTGACACGTTCTGATAGGGGACCTTCTGGGGCCTCCTGGGAGCCTCCTGGGAATCTCCTGTGGACCCCTGGGGCCTCTCCTGGGCGTCCTGCGGCCTCATGAAGCTCTCTGGGGCCTCCTGGGGCTCCCAGGGTCCCAGGGGGGATATGTAACATGTGGTCTTCTGGGCCCCCAGGCTGGACCACCTCTTGCGCGGCATCAAGGAGCTCAGAATTGCGAGATTTTCTTGTGCGAAACGGGCCGGACCATCTTGCGCACGGCCTCTCAAAGCTCACAATTGCGAGGATGTCTCAAGCGAGACGGGCCGGACCACTTCGCGCAGGGCATCTCAGAGCTCAGAGTTGCGAGGATGTCTCAGGCGAAGCGGGCTGGACCACGTCGCGCGCGGCATCTCCGAGGTCAGAGTTGCGAGGATGTCTCAGACGGAATGGGCTGGACCACCTCTTGCGCGTCAGCTCAGAGCTCAGAGGTTGCGAGGATGTCTCAGGCGAGACGGGCCGGACCACCTCGCGCAAGGCCTCTCAGAGCTCAAAGCTGCGAGGATGTCTCAAGCGAGACAGGCCGGACCACTTCGCGCAGGGCATCTCAGAACTCAGAGTTGCGAGGATGTCTCAGGCGAAACGGGCTGGACCACGTCGCGCGCGGCATCTCCGAGGTCA